TATATATATATATATATATATATATATATATGAATTTTCTCTTAGCATCTTTTCCTACTAGTGTGTGTGATTTAATGGTCTTCCTTTTATTTAGAAGGATAGTTTGAACTGTCATCCAATATATTTTCTATTTATTTTTGCTGTCTAATTCATCATTTTTTTAAAATTCTTTTAATCAGGACTGACACATGAAATTGATAAAATGCAATCGAGAAGCTTAACCTTAGGTGTTTTTTAAGTTGCATTGGTGCCCAATCTTAATGAGTTTGATTTAAGCTTCTCGACCAAGTTTGCTCTAATTTCATGTATGTTGATCTACAAGTAGGAAAACAAGTTAAGCTTTATTTTTCCAAAACTCTTCATATATAAATAAATTCTTCGTGTGGAGTTTCATATATCAAATGTTGCATGGGGTATCGTAGGACTGAATGATGTAGTTTTGATTTTGCTAATGTTACTTTGTACAATAATAAAACCCTTCTTTTCTTGATTATTGTAAGATTGAATGTGTTGACTAGCTTAGATGGTAAGGATCTTGACAGATTATCGCAATGTCTTGGGCTTAAATCTCATCTTCATCACTTAATTTTTTTTTGTACAAAATAAAATGAAATAGTGGCATATTAATATTTTTTCCAAAAAAAAGAGACAGTCATAAATCTAGTATAAGCAAAGCCCATTTGCAGCTCAAACAAAATAAGATCAAAATTAGAAGGTAGGTTGACTTTCCAAAAATTATAATCGTCACAAATTCAATCAAAATCAGCTACTCTGTTCTGTTCTCACCATCAAGTTATCCCCCCCATTGGATCGAAAGTTAATATGAAAATTCATTAAGAAGGATGTAGTTATTATGCAAAATCTTTAAAGTTGATATGGTACTATTAAAAAGGAGCATTGGAAAATTTAATCTCTCGGAGAGTTGGTGGTAATCAAGAAATCATAGATCATAAAAATAAGAGAAGGATTCAAAACTAAAAACTCCTATTAATCAATAATAACAAGCCAAATCTTTTAGTCTCTTTTGCTCCACTTCATCTATCCTCTCTCTCTTCTTCTTTTGAATCTAAAGTTCTTTTGCTTTTCTACTATCTAAGCAAGACAATTCCTTCCATCTAAAGCATTAAATTATAGAGGGGTTAACCCAGGATTTTAACTTCGATTATGACAAGAACTCCCATCTTAACTAAAACTCTTAAATTAAAAATTTATCTAACCATAAATATTAAATGAGTATTCCAACAGTATATTCTCAAATCAACGGAAAGATAGAACAATATTTTGAATATTGTTTGTAGCGTTTTTCATTTGTTGTCTTATTTTTTGGATTCCGGAATTGCTAATGTGTTTGGAGGATGAATGAAATAACTAATTGGCTGGCTGATGCTATAAGCAACAAAATTAATACATGAAAGGAAAACTAACCCATGGAGTTGAATGTTTTTGTTCAGAACGGGTTGTTTTTTGCCGATATCATTCGTATGTTTTGCTTTTTCTCAGGGAAAAAATATTGGAATAGAAACAAAAGTACACTTTTCACGTCAAATGTATTGAAGCAAAAATTCTATATTAATAATCCTAAATGTGATGCCTAACTTTCAAACCAGGATCAGATGTATATTCGTCATTATGAGGTATCCAAAATTGAGTTTCCATATATCATTCCTTTTCTCCAAGATGTATGATCTTTCTCAAGAGTCATCATCTCACTACAATCACGATCGTCTCATCTTTGCAATGGCACCACTTTTCAGTAAACCTGATCCCCATATTTCAATATCAACAGTTCTGATTTTAGAACTAACAGTTCTAACTCCGATTTGAACCATTGTTTTTTTTTATATTTTTAATTAAAAAATAATTTAAAATATGAAAAAAAAAAAATCATACTATTATTTTAAAGATTTTGAAAATTAGATGTATAATGAGTGCAATGACATAAAAAAATTAATATAAAAAGTAAAAACTATAAATTTTTTAATCATTTTTTATATCGAATGTTTCAATCGTCTCTTTCGTTGATACATCAAATAAGCAATCGTTGTCTTTGCATATGATCTCTTTATTTTATTTCTCCGTTCTAGTTCAATTGTAATGTTTTTGTAATCATTCTCGATATCGAAAAGATTATTTTATATAACATCCACCATTTAAGAATTGATAACTGTATATTTATAGTGATATCACCAAATTCAAAATAAGTCTGATACATTTCAAGCTTGGAATTTAAGTCTGATAATTCTTTTATTTTTTTATCTCTGTAATAATAATTTCTCCTTCTTATATATTCTACTACTCCCGCTAACTTGATCTGTAGATGAAAAATTTTTAGCTTGTTGTCTACTATAATTTGCACTATTATGGTCATATAAATTAATAATTAGATTTTTATTTCTCTAATTCTACCACCAATATCAATTTATATTCCTTTATTTTTATAATAAATACTTAAATAATCACTTAAACTATCTATTATAGTATGAGGATCAAAAACACAAGCAAAAAGATAAATTGGTGAAATATCAAGAAAATAATTTATCTATTTTACTTTCATTGCCATGATATTCATATTAAAATCATGATCATGTTGATATTCTTCTAAAGTACCAATAATATTAATGTGAATAATTAAAAATATATGAGTAGTAAGATGATAAATATCAGATAAAGTATAAGTAGCACCATTAAAAATGTTTAAAATTTCTAAATTTTTTTCATAAACATTTCAATAGATATAAACAAACTTGTCTAATATTATTTATAATAAAGTGCAAATAATTCTTTATACTCAAAAGATCTATTAAGGAATTCATAGATAGAATTCCATTAGATAGAACCTTTTTTTTTTATTCCGAAAAGCTCGAGAATGGATATGCTGAATAGATAAATTCCATCCCTAAGAAATTTTTTGAGCCTTTTATTATTTAATTTATAAAATCTAGTCCACTCTTTTATTACTTGTGGATGACCCCACAAGAATGAAATATGAGAATAATACCTAATATGAAAAAAAAATTACCAAAAGCCGATTGACACACTAAAATAGCAACAGTATTTGTAGATGCAACATTAAACTAATTGAAAAAAATTTAAAAGCAAAATAGTACTCTTTTAAAATAGTTTTCATCATTCTATAAATGTTATCAATAATATATCATTTATCAAAAACACTAAAGATAATATATTTTTTCTTTGCATGATCCGATCATGATCAATCTATGATAAGTGATACTCATGTAGGAGTTTATTTGTTAGTGATCACTTCAAATATCAACACAAATAAAAATAGATAATCAAAAGCTTGAAATAACTTTTGGAAATCTCCTTTTTTTTCTTTTTTTTTAAATTATGCATAGCATGGGTAAGAACACTTGGAGGAATACGTTGGGCAGTGGGATTCAAAGTGTTTTGATAATAATCAATAAAACTGACTTTTTCATCAAAAATAAAAGATAAATGCTTGAAGGAAATAAATCTAGTTAATTCTTCATAGTTTTTTTCAACTAAAAAAATGAAAAGTGATGTTTGTGGAGTACCCAAAATTTTATGTTTTATGTTTTGCTTTATGACTTGTATATTTCTTCTCAATTTGCTTAGGAAAGGTTCCATATCCTCCTTCTATTTTGAATTTGAAAATCTGATCATAATAGTTGTAGATAATATAGAAGGAGCTATCGGTATTTCAGACTTTCTTGAAGTGCAACTTGAAGATACCCAATTTTACTTTGGTCATTGTATTCAATTACTTTGACTCGATGGTGATATGTTGGCTTTCTTCGGTTGCCATAACTAGACTTTTGAAATTCTCTTCGGTGAAATGATAGTTTCCGCTTGCTATCGAAATAAGAGAGAGAGCATAAGAGAATGATTAGAGCGCATATAAGAGCTTAATAGAGTATATTATGAATCTTTAATCAAATGTAAAAAAAAAGTATATTTATAGATTTTTTGAATTTTTTTAAATACTCCGAAAACTAGTTATTATTTAGTTGTTGGAAGTAGCAATTTTATCTTTTTCATATTTTTATAATTTAATTATGAAATTACCAAAACAACTGACCTTTTTTATTGTTATGGCTCAAACAGTTTGCCTAAGGATCGATCAAGCCTATTTTACCGGCCTTTTTATTTTTGTAAACCGTAGAACTGACAATTGGAACCAAAACTTGAATTATCAGTTCTGATTCCTAAATTATTGATTCTGATATTTTAAATCGAAGAACCAGAACCAAAACTTGATTTTTTAAGTCAACAATTGATTCCTAAATTATTGATTCTGGTTGGTTCTGAGTTAGTTTGGAACCGATCAATAAATGGGCTGGTTTGATTGTAATCGTAGCCTGATTGGATTTCAATTCAGTTAAAAAGCTAATAAATGGAATAGAAGAGAGATAAGAAGGATAAATGGAAGTAGAATCCATTGTGTGAAAGTATTTATAGGTGGGGGGGGGGGGGAGACCACATCTAAATTACCTATACATAGGTTTATAATATTCTTTGTACATTTTATATTTCTAACACAACATATAATTAGGAAATTATATTAAAAAATTTTAAGGTCCGAGCCCATTCAACCAATGAGTCGGTGTTGCACGATTTGACAGCGCCAATGCTGACCGTAAGTAATGTAATTCCATAACTCACGTATTATCACCAGAAATAATATCTATTGCTTCCACGTTATCCACAAAGTCCGTTCAAACAAAAAATACCCTCAAAGAATAATTAAGAATATGAAAATGACAAATCTACTTCCAGTAAATTAATTATAGTATCAGTACATACCATATGTTTCTGTCGATGATCGAAGAAGTCGGTCCTCCAAATAGAAAGAGATTTGTAGTAAAAAAATGAATATCTCCAATTATCGTATTAGATTTGCTATATATTACAAAACCGTTGCCATTAACTTTTCATTCTGAAAAGTCTTTAAAATCTGTTATATTTACGTTGAACATTTCCAGAATCATTCAGCCTCACTTGAGGATGATTGAATTCTGTGATCTAATCTAATCCAAGCAACATGTAGTTACCACAACGAACGATGATATAGAAGGCTAGCTTTACTTATGGATTAATGTATACCAATGACGACAAGAGCATTCATTATTATGCATTAGTATGGTAACTTGTTCTTACCCGGACTAATAATTCCAAATCCTCGAGATTGAGCTGTGCAGGCAAAGCTCTGCGGTTGCTCCCTGCGCCATTAAAGCGTAATCCTGTTAATCCTGTTCTCTCACATCCTATATATCCCCGCCACAACCCCGCTGCAGTCTCCCATAACAATCCAGCTAGCCTTCTTCACAACCTCCATGGCCGGGACGTGGATCCTCTCCGCTGCCTTCTTCTCCGCCATCCTTTTTCCAGGTTGGTTTACGTGCTAGCTGTTTCTCTTTGTAGGTTTGGTTTCACTGGATTCCGTGATACTGTATCTCAGCTGCATCCTCTACTACGTTCACCGTGAAGAATAACTGCCCGTTCACGATCTGGCCCGCGACACTCACCGGCGGGAGATCGGCGCTGCTCCCTCAGACCGGCTTGGAGCTCGCATACGGTGAGTCGCAGTCTCTGGACGCGCCGGCCGGTTGGTCGGGCCGGTTCTGGGCGAGAACGCGGTGCACCACCGACTCGACCTCGGGCAGGTTCTCGTGCGCCTCCGGCGACTGCGGCAGCGGGTCCATCGAGTGCAACGGCGCGGGAGGGGCGCCACCCACCACGCTGGTGGAGTTCACGCTGCAGGGTGACGGGGGGAAGGACTTCTACGACGTGAGCTGCGTCGACGGCTTCAACCTGCCGGTGTCGGTGACGCCGCGGAGCGGGCAGGGCTGCAGCTCGATCTCCTGTCCGGCGGACATCAACGCAGGCTGCCCGCCGGAGCTGCAGGAGAGAGCGAGGGACGGGGCGGTGGTGGGCTGCAAGAGCGCATGCCTGGCGTTCGACACGGACTGGTACTGTTGCAGAGGAGCGTACGGGACGCCGAGCGCATGCAAGCCGACGAGTTACTCCATGTTGTTCAAGAATGCATGCCCTCAAGCTTATAGCTACGCTTATGACGACGCCACCAGCACGTTCACCTGTGTTGGTGCAAATTACCTCATCACATTCTGCCCTTAACTGTTACGGTATCGTATGTTAGTGCGGTTTAGCATGGGATAAGAATTTACTTAGTTTTTATACGGTAGCTATGTGCTGTCAATTGATATCTTTTGGATAATGATGATTTGTCGCAAACAATAGCAAATACTTCGAGGATTATGCTGATGTGCAAGTATCGAGGACTTATCTTGTCGGTCTTTGAGTGATCGAAATTTCGTTCCAATGCAAATATTTAGTTTTAAAGTATTTTATATTATTTAATTAAAAAATATATTTGACAATTTCAGGGAACAATATTACAATCTTTTTTGGGATTAACAGAAATGATGGGAGAAAAAAAGAAAATTCTCTGCGTGAGTAGTCTACAAACAATGCTTCAATCAGTTGAAGATGAAATCGACTTGTATGGTTTAATAAGATGCCATGATCAAACAGCTGTGGGAAGACTAATCGATTTATTATTATGTACCAAAATTTTACAATATCTAAATGAACAAAAAATAATAAAGAGGTAAACTTTTTATTTTTATTTTTTCTGAAAATAGCAATGTTAAAATCGGTTCGAACCAAATTATTGAGGATGGAACCGAACCGAATCGATTTTTGATTTCGTTTAGTTAAAATAAAATAGGTAGGTTCGAATCGGTTCAAAATCGATTAATCGATTTATTATTTTAAATAATTAAATATTGTATATATTTATTTATTTATTTTAAATGAATTGATTCGATCCTGTGAACCAGCAGTTTAGTTAAATTGAACCAAATAGAAATCCTAGTTTAATTGGATCCACACTATAAGATTTACAAAATTAGGTTCATATTATTTTTAAAATTATGATATTAAAATTAAGCTCTGTTTGATCATCAATTTGTGAACCCAATTGCCCAAAAAAAAATAAATCGTAAATCGGCTATTGTAGATTTGGTAAAAAAGCTAGGAGAGTGTCTAAAGTGCATGCAAATTCCTTAGTTAAAAGAAGTCATACTGTAAGGATACGTAACTGCTGGCCAAATCAATATCTCATACAATAGTCCATCGTAAGTCTCAAAGGAATATGATATGCAAACTAAACCGGTAGGCCATTAACATATAAACTATATTTTATGTGAATGCAGATGCCCCATTTAATGGAAAAATAAAAATAAAAGTTCACTATTGTGAATAAAATAATAAATAATATCTAAATCTTATGTAAAGAATTTTTAACAAATTGCCTTGCTCTAATCTTTTAACATCCTCAAAATCTTCATATCAAAGAATGAAAAATGGTACGGGCATTATCTAATTTTGTACGCAAAAATGAGTTTTCATCATTTTAGGAGTCAGGGAATTACGGTGGGGATCGAGAACCCTTCGTCCAGTTCTACAAGCACTTTCAGAATATACAATGGAGACGATTATGGTTCATACGTCTCGTGCAATAGATACAAGAATCGATAATCTGATTGAATTCATCTTCCACCAATTCAACAAAAATCTAATTTAATATGAGGCTTGAACAACTTATAGTCCTCCTTCAAATATTTTTTTCAACTCTAATTTTGTGCATAGTTTTTTACAAAAATATATTTATATAATATAATTTTTGATCGTCTTCATCTTGAATTGATGTTTGCACAGATGACTGTACTGGCACAAATGAAGTCTTACTTAGCCTCTGTCTTCATATTGCTTGTACAATGACTTCAAACAAGTCATCAACGTCACTCAGAACTCGGTTGTCTTATCATCATCATTGAAAACACCAATAAAATAATTAACATAAGCCTCACTTATGCCTGAGATCAAGCACCACAGCAATCAACAATAATATGTTAATAGTATTGGGGTTTTTCAATATTTGTCAAACTTTATCTTTATTTTGTTGATTATCAACAATAATATTCCTTTTCAATATCTAAAATCTTTTTTACAACCTTAAAGTAAGATTATTTGATATTTGGTTAGAATCTACCACAAACACCTATAAGGAACATAATATATGATATTAATAAGATATACTAAACATTTTATCAAACCTCTATAGATGTTTTGATCCTTATCATCATTATCAATATCTAATTTTATGGATGTACATATTGGTATATTAATAATCTTAGATTTTTATGTTAAATCTTTTAAGTAGGTTTTGAGTGTAATTAGTTTGATTGAAAAAAAATATATTTTTAAATTATTTAATTTATAAGTCTAACCAAAATATTAGTTGGCTCATTTTAAATTCTTAGTGCATACTCTTGATATATGATTCATATAAAGTTTCATTAGTAAAAAAAATCATCAACATAAATTTAAACAATAAAAATATTATTATTAAAATATTAATAAATAATATGGTATCGATATTACTTTTAAAAAAATTATTTTGATTTAAAATGAAACTAAATATCTCATACCAAGTACTATGAGCTTATTTTAACTTGTAAAAGAGTTTAAATAGTTTATAAACATGATTTGATAAAGATTATTTTAAAATGGTTGCTCCACGTTAGCATCTTCCGAAATAAACTCATTAAAAAAAATACTTTTAACATTCATTTGAAAAAGTTTAAAATTTTTAAAATAAGTATAGGCAAAGAATATTCTTCATAATCTATAACTTCTTGATTGAAACTTTTGGCCACTAATCTAGCCTTATTTTGAACTAGTTTATTTTGTTTATTTCTAAAGACTTTTTTAGTATCAACTACAAGATGATTACTTGGTCTAGGAATAAGCATTCAAACTTTATTTTTTTTCAAATTGATAAAATTTTTCATGTAGTACTAAAACTCATGAGTCATCTTTAAGGTATCATTAATGCATTTAGTCTTAATTAAATATTAAAAAAAATAATATTTATATAAATATTTTTTTAAAAAAATAAGTTTAAATATCTTTTAGTGTTTTTCCAATAATTAGCTTCTTAGAATGTGTATCTATATACTTTTATTCATTGGCTTTACAAGCAGATATATCTAAGTTAATTTAGAGAGTAAAATCATCATTTAAATTTAATTTTTCAAGTTTAAAATAATTATCATAAAAAACAACTTAGATAGATTATTCAACAACTAAAGATCTTTTATTGAAAACTCTATAGGCTTTAGAAATAGAAGAGTAAAAAATATACCTTTATCAGATTTAGCATTAAAATTTTCTAAGACATCCTTGTTATTCAAAATAAAAAATTTTATGTCTTTTATTATTCCATAACTCATAAGGAGTTAAGATAAGCGTGCCCTTATAAGGACTCTATTCATAACATAGTAAGTTATGTTAATAGTTTCGGCCTAAAAATATTTGAGTAAACTATGTTCCTTAGGCATAGTCCTAATTATTTCTTGTAAGCTCTTATTTTTTTCTCTCAATAGCTTATTTTTAATGTTAATTTTTTTAATAAAGAAGTTATAGTTATACCCATTTAAATAACAAAACTCTTAAAAAGAATAATTTTTAAATTCATCATCGTAATCACTATGAATAAATAAATCATAAAATATTTTTTTTTATTTTAGACTTATTTATAAAACTTAATAAAATACTTAATATAATCATTTTTATGCATCGAGTATGTCCAAGTGTATCGACTATAGTCATCAACAATTCCAAATACATATTTATTATCTCCTAGATTTATGATATCAATAGGTCCAAATAAGTCTATATGAATTAATTGTAGTATTCCAGATATACTTGGTTTTTAGGTTTAAAGTTACTCTTTATATATTTTCCTAATTGACACTCATCATAAAACTTATCTTTAACAAATTTGATTCTAAGCATTTCCTTTACAAATTCTTTAGTTCTAATTTAAGAAATAAATTTTATACTAATATGTCATAGTCTTCTATGTTAAAGTTATATATATTCAAGGTTAAAACACAAGTTGCATCATAAAATTCATCAAGATCAATAGTATAAATATTATCATTTATTAAAGTAATCAAAGAACTATTCTTAGTAGGTATACCTATGATGCAAGCATAAGATTCAAATTTAACTTTATATTCTTTATCATAAAATTAACTAATGCTTATTAAGTTATATTTCAAATCATCTACCAAAAGCATATCTTCAATCAAAATACTTGACTTATTATCAATATTTTCAATGTCAATGATTTTTTTTTGAAGATAATATATCATCTATTTCAAATAGTGGGCTCTGAGAAGTTTGTAAGATCTTCGATCATATCCACTATCAAGATATCTTCTTTTATTCCTAGCTCTTATTTAAAGATATACCTATTAGAAATAGATGGTTGATTTAGGTACCCATTTAACTTTAAGTCATTCATGGTAAGATCTATCTTTTTTATCTTTTAGCCATAAATTACTTATAGTTCATTTAGGAACCTATACTAATTTAAAATAACTTTTTCTAAAAGAACATAAGCAAGCGTAATGATCAAACTTATCACAAAAGTTATATTTAATTCTATAGGGTGTATAAGTATATAATGTAGGTTATTTTATAAATTTGGTTAGCTTATGGTATATACTATTACTTATGAAGCTAATACCTTCTTTTCTAAATATATAATCTTATTTAATGAGAATCATATCAAGTGAATTATTTCAACTTTAAATTTTCCTGAAGTTTGTCATAGAAATATGTTTTCCTTTTTAAGAGATTCTATTATATTATTACTATTAATTAATTTTCTTAGTGATTTTTGAAATAATTCTTTTAAGTTTAAGATTATATGAATTTAAATTTTCACATTTAGTGTAAAGAGTATAAGATATTGATGTATATTTGTCATGTATGTTTTTAATATATCAAACTTATTAGTAAGCAATCCGTGATTCTTTTTTAGTGATTTAGTGAATTATATTTCTTATCATTCTTTTTATATTCATTATAGAATTTATTGAATACTTCAAGTAATTTTTTATAAGATAAAAGGTTTTGGAAAAGTCAAATATCTCATTATTGAAAGAAATTAAGACATAATTTATCACTTATTGGGATGATGACTTCTTTAATCATGGGCCTTCATTTTTGAAATGTTCTTGCTCTTTATACTCATAGCA